GGGAGGAGAGATATTACCTACTAGAGAAAATTATTATCAGGAACTGGAAGCCTATCTTATCTTTAAAACCTGCGGGTTAATTCACATATATTACGTCCGTCTTCTAACGTATATCATTTATGCGGTAAACTGTATTCAGCTACTGTTATAATTCAGCACAAAGGTGGGCATCACGTGGCGTTTATTACAACAACAATGACGTCACCGGGTATAGGTTTTCATGACTTACTATTTACAATGCTTATAAAACAAAAGAGCATCTACTCAAAACATTATGCACCTAACCTATGTAGTACTTAATCCTACAAAATACCTTAATACTTTTCCGGGCTCACGATAAACCGAACTACATGAACATTTCGTTTTGAGTAGCTAAATCTACTGAAACGACAACAACCTTAATCCTAACACCAGCCATTTCATAATTTAATGTTACTCAGGAAAATTATCACAATATAAAACAAAAATCAGAGTAAAACTGTGACAATATCATCTAGCACATCATGTTTACATTCGCCTGCAGCAGTCACCCCCAGATGGCGAGCGATTCAAATCCGACGTACCGTGTTTTGTTTTTTAATGAGTAATTGTCTGAATTAGTAGTCCAAAAATGATCGACACGTTGAGAACTTCTCAGTTCTATAGACAAATATGAAGAAAATTACTGAAAATATCATCTGATTTTTCTGAATGTTTTAGAAAGTTTGTGGTACAAACATGAAAATCTTTCAGGACAAGGACGAAAGCCTCATAATTACCTCTCGCTATTCCAGAGAGGCACCTTCGCTTTCCCGCCACTTTGTTCGTTAGAGAACAATGGAAATATTATTCATAGCAAGATATCAAGGTATCGTTCGAGTGTATTCATGTAATGAGTTCCCAGCAAACTGGACAGGATTTTGAGGCAAAATGGTTGTCTTTCAAAACGAATTTACCGATGATTGAATCACAGATTAACAATGTCATTCAATCAGCTGCTAGTGAACGGAAGTGTAAATGAAAGAGTGAGAGGGAAAATAATGGTTATTTCATCCTCAGTAAAAAAAAAATTATATATATATATATATATATATATGTGTGTGTGTGTGTGAGAGAGAGAGACCTCGTAAATGGACGCGCTATTACTGTTTGAATCTTGACTAAGGACTCATTAAGAACTTGCACAACCACTTACGAAACCTGTATATCTTTCCTAAATCATGGCCACTTTGTTTACATACATTTAACAGTTAACGAGTCTGGAAACTTCACAACTCAAGGTTATTGTTGTTATAAACAACCTCGTAGTGCTTCGATGCTCATAAACTGTTCAATAAGTGTAAACAAAGCCGCCATGATTTAGGAAAGGTGTACAGATTTCGTAAGTGGATCAGTAAATACTCGATCAATCTTAGCCCTGACCTTTTTTTCCATCATATATACAAATTTACAGTATTATTTTTCATACACGCAGAGCGTTAAGAGCCTTTGACCTTCATATGAAAGGTTACATCTAACCAGGTAATTTACGCGAGCATTCAGAACGCGTCAACGGCTGACAGCGACCTCGTGATACGCTTGTAATCACGGCATCTTACGCACAACCACTATGTAGTCTACAGAACTCGCTGTACGCAAGCCTGAGTTGCGTAGTCTCTAGGACCAGCTGGGATACGAGGACAGAGTGAAGGAACGCTGTCCAACAACTTCGACCATCGGGAATCGAACACCGACCCTGCAAGAAGCGAAGCCGTCGCTATACCGACCAGTGCAAATAGAATAAATCCATATCCTGGTATACAAGCCACTCGAAATGTTCGCTAGTCGTCGCCTCTAAGGTAAGGAATTAGCTAATGAAACAAATTAATTGCCCTTCAGCTTTATTTCCATTTTGCAATGTTATTTTTTTTATTTTATTTATTTTTTATTTTATTTTTGGTTGCCACCATTTAGACCTTCATATGCATTTAAAAAATCACTTAAACTATGTAAAAATGTTTTGGCCAAAAAATATACAAATACTGCATGGAAAAAAGTATGTTGCATATGTTGCAGAGTCCCAAACTTTATCTAGCTAGCTGGTCTCCTATTCGTTCGTCTTGGTTGTTGGGCTTAAGGCCTATTACTTGCACTAGGGTCATCAAGTCTTCGCAATAGCTTACTAATCAACCAGAAAGTATAATTTAGTCCTGATGACTAAAGGACTAAAAATGTACTCTGCGTATATAATACCGAGAAGCGGGAGGGGGGGGGGGGGGTAGGAAACACCTCGCAGTCTGTATATTCCTAAAAAAAATAAAAAAATGGCATTTCCAGAAATATATATTAATATTTTGTATATAATTTTTGTTTTAATGTATAGTTAAGCCTAGGAAAGGTAAGGTTGCGCTATTTATGTATTTCAGGTAGCCATTTTGAGTAATGACAAACTCATCATCAGGCTATGCTCGTCTAAATACACAAAAAAATGTATATAATGATGTTGTGAACATATGTTGTATTTTATACGTAGTGGCAAATGATGAGAAGGAGGTATAAATAGTACTTTGACCTCAGGAAATAACTAAAGACCCGGTTAAGATAAGACAAATGTATCAATAATTAAATCAGACATTGACAAAGTGCACCGTGCAACAGCTCTCCTCTGCCAGCTGCCAGTGCAACAGTGCAACAAGCTCCCCTTGACGCTGCAGACATTTACAAGACATTTAATGAAACATTCGCAAGATGCTTTCAACAAATTCGCAACGCACAAATAAAAATATATTGAGCTGCTAAAAAAATTCGGCATCAACCACCCAACATCTGTCAATTTACCTGTCAGGAAAATACTCAATAAAGATATCTTTAAGAAGGCAGTTCATCAATATCTATAAAAGTAGATTTACGTGTGCTTGTTTGTCTGTCCATGGTTTGAGGCCAGACACTTTGCAGGGTGACGAAATGTGTGGTAGGGGACTGTCACAGTAAAAGTTGGAGGATCGGCCCCATTGCCTCCCTTTTAGAAGGGTCAACTCCCATTGTGACTCCCATGACTCTCACGTAGTATGAAATAATGTTTTTTTTTTTGCAATTCAATGGTGCAACTTTTATGGGCAGACCTGGGCACGACCTGGTACCCGCTCGAGTTACATGTAAATATTATACTGCCCTAAGACTTATATTTAGATTACTTAAAACTTAAAATGAAGAAATTATACACTTGTGGTATCTAAGATGGTTCGGATAACGATATAATTCTCTTTGGTTTTTAACAAATTGTTTGATTTTGTTAACTATGAAAATTAAGTTAACTTTTGTTAACTTTGATTTTATTAACTAACAGACATTACTAACTCGTTAGCAAAGTCAGCTCACAAGTCATTGGACCCAAGTTCGACTCCTTGGCAAGGGGGAGACATCCTGCACCAGTTTCATAACAATGTTAAAAAGAGCTTATACAGTAGTTATGTTGCCATTCTCTGCCACTCTTGCTACGTCACAACTTGATAAGGGTTCAGGACGGACCGTAACAGCGTGACGACTTGATAAGGGTTCAGGACGGACCGTAACGCCGTCATTTTCATATATGTGTGGGACGAGATATTTACGAGTTATGTAAAATAGAAGTGATGAGTGGTTTTACTGCAAGAGGCAAGATATTTAATTAAGGTAACACGAGCGGTAATTAGAGCCACTTCACAGGGAACAAGAGCGGAAGAAAACTGATAAGTGAAGGGAGAAGATAGATAGGAATGAGAATAAGTATTGAGATGGGGAAGTGGCAAGAGAATCTCCACTACGATCACCACCACAATCACAACTAAATACACCTGAGTAATACTTGAAACACTAAACTAAAACAGGAAACAGAAGGCTGGGTTGACTGTATTTTTCTAGGTTGTCAAAAAGCATGTGCAACTGTTCCTCATGAAAGGTTGATGTACAAGATGGAAAAGTAAATAATTATCAAAAGAAGGCACTAAGCCGGACAAGATGGAGAAGCAAGCTGGGATAAGTTTGAACTGAAAAGCAAAGAGTTACAATCAGAGAGGATATTTCATCTGGCAGAATGTAACAAGTGGTGTCCCACAAGGCTCCGTCCTGGGATCACTGCTGTTCCTAATGTATGTGAATGACCTACCTAAGGGAGTGAGTTCATATATGTCAATGTTTGCAGATGACGAAAAGCTGGTGAGGAATGTAAACAAAAGAGGACTGCAGGAAGGTACAGATGGATCTTGACAAATTTCAGGAGTGGTCAACAAATAATGGATGGAATTATATAGGGCTTAAACCCCAAAACTCACCCATAGGGTTATAAACCCAAAAACTCACCCATAGGGTTATAAACCCAAAACTCACCCATAGGGATATAAACCAAAAACCTCATAGGGTTATAAACCCAAAAACTCACCCATAGGGAATTAACCCAAAAAACTCACCCATAGGGTTATAAACCAAAAAACTCACCCATAGGGAAATAACCCAAAAACTCACCCATAGGGTTATAAACCCAAAAACTCACCCATAGGGTTATAAACTCATAGAAGCACCTACCCGCCGAAACCGTAAATACCAAAACATCGTTTAGTCAAAATCCAGGTGAATGAAACCATTAGAACACATGGGGGGGGGGCAAAACAAAGCAACCTTTGACAAACAGGCCACCGGCGTCCTCGTCCTAGTCAAGGGCACTTGTGAGGTGGTGGCTCTCTGGTAAATACAAATTAATTCTGGGGAGGGAGGTAAAAAGAGGCAGGATAACAAAATTCACCCATATGTACTGCAAGGCTACAAAATCCGAAGGTTCCTCGCCCAATGTCACTGAGTACAGGTACAGTTCATGAATTATATGTCTAATGACACACACTTTAGGAGTGGGGGGAGGGGGGTAGGGTCGTCCGCCCTGGTGAGACAAAGTTAGTATAAGATAAGAGTAGATTAGCTTAAATGATAATCGGGCAATTAAGTGTTTACATTTAATAATTTAAAGATTAACTTGTAAAAAAATATATATATATTTCTGGAGTCATTTTACTTTACTGAACTTGGCAAGACCGAATGATTTCTGGGCTGGAAATTTGGGTTGCCGAATAGTCTGGTTGTTGGAAAGAGTCGGGTTGCCGGATAACTGGGTTGCCGGATAACTGGGTTGCCGGATAACTGGGTTGCCGGATAACTGGGTTGCCGGATAACTGGGTTGCCGGATAACTGGGTTGCCGGATAGCCTAGTGTTTATCCAAAAGGCCATAAAACCTATGGCCTCTGAGTAATTTACAAAATAGCAAAAATTAAATACTTTCGTTGAAACTGAAAAGGCACAATGCACCTTTATGTAAACACTGACTCTACCACTAAGAATATAAAGCATGTAATATACAATTAATACCTTGGCAGTTACTCCACGCTTGGGATCTACACAAAACTACACTAAGTAAAGTACAGATGGTTATATAAGCCCAAAATCACGCACACGAGCGGCAAGATGCAAACATTGCCAGGCGCCAGCTGGAACAATCCACATGTAAAAACACTAAATTCTAAATAACTCTGCTCTACTCTAGAAAATGCACCACGCAACTTTACGCAGAATACGTATATGTATCGAAAGGTACACACCTAATTCTCTAGTGAACGAAGAGGCTTTACAAAAGTCCAGAAACGTGAAGAGGCGGTTCACTATCCGGCGACGTCCACAGCTCGTCTCTCCCACAATGGCCGACTCCACTGACGCCAACGCCTCCTTCTCGCCAACTCGTTCCAATGTTTCAGAGGTTCAAATTATTTGTATAATACAACCTTATTGAAAGTCATAGGAGTTTGGTCTAGATTTCTACATTTAACACTTATATTTTATTAATGTTTTCAATCACAAAATGTACTAGGGAATGGTTATATTATGAATTGAACAATTGTTTACATTCATTTAGAGGGAGGTAACAGGTCGCGCAAGTTGGATATGCTTTCCAGGCATGTGCTGGCTACCTGCTACCTTGGAGGTGTTTTCAAATACACTCAGAACAGTTTATACACTAAAACTAAACAAGGCATTTGAAAAGGCCCCTGCCCATATTTCAAGAATTATATAATAAATTGGGAATGGTGCAATGACATACAACTACATGTTTTCCGAAACAAAAACCAGGAGCTACGAGGAGGGTTAAGTGTAGTTATAGGATGAGAGCTACGGCTGTAGTGTCCCATCTTCCCAGTACTATTTGTCATATAACGCTTTGAAACTACTGACTGTTTTGGCCTCCATCACCTTCTCGCCTAAATTGTTCCAACCGTCTTCCACTCTGCAAAAGTGAACTTTCTAGTATTTTTCGGCAGCTTTGTTTCCTTAGTTTGAACCTATGTTCTTTTGTTCTTGAAGTTGCTATTTTTTGTAATTCTTCTTTGTCAATTTTGCCGATTCCTGTTACTATTTTGTATGTAGTGATCATATCACCTCTTTTTCTTGTCTTCTAGCTTTGGTATATTTAACACCTTTTAATTTGGTATATTTAACACCTTTTAAAGTCACCATTCTACAACACCCTTGGGATTGAAATCCTTCTGGCGCTTGTGTTCATAGTATTTTCCACTTTGCTGATAAGTCAGGTGACGAGACCTAATGACAGCAGGTGTTCTGACCTGACAGTTCGTTAACACTTGACCAGGTCTGCAATCTCATGACTTACCTGTTCTCCCTTTGGGGTAGAAGGGTAGGGTAAGGTAAGGAGGACACCGTCACTCACCTAACCCTTAAACATTCAAGCGGATCTTGACTACCTCAACAATCGTTTATCAATATTTACAAGACTCGGGGAGGATGAGTTGATATTTAATTCAACCAAATCATTGAAACAAAATAATAAACAAACTGATGGGTTTATAATTAACACTAATTACACAAAGAAATCACAATAACGTGATCTATGAGAAAAACCTTGGAGTCGGACATTAGCATCGAACCAGAGTCTGTGGTATCCCCGGACGGTGGTTCGATCCCACCATACAGCTCCAATCGTTTTCTAGCCCAAGTACATTTTAGTTCATTAACGTATATTTATTAGTCAGATACTGACATCTTACACTATAAAGCCTAGCAAATAAGTAAGTAATTATTAACAGAAGGAGTAAAGCCTAGCAAGGAAATGAATACAATATGCCAATGGTATATGAAATAGGGAACCGGTTTACCTACATCAGTTATAAATGTATAACTTTCACTTTCTCACCAGTGAAAGCGGTTACCCAGAAACAGACAGGATGTATGCTCCTGTTTCCTGTCAATTCATGTCCTCTCTGAGCCTAGGGTAATGCCCAGGGCATGACAAACCATGCCCCTACCTCCCGGATTTTAGGCTTGACTCTCAGCCTCCAAGACTACACAACATTCACGGAGTGAAGATGCCTCTGGAGATGAGGAAAATGTACTAGGCTTCTCCCCCTCACCCGTCATATGCTCTAACGGTCGCTTGGTCTGTGTTATCACTTTCTGAGGGACTACCCGCCAAACACACACCGAAACTACGACGTTGGTACAACGTTCGAACAAGTTTTAACACGTCCTAACCAGTTATAACAACCAATATAGCAAGTTGTAACAACGTTCTAATACGTCATAAACACGTTAAGCCAAGATGTACCAACTTTATTACAAGTTGTAACAAGCGGAAAATAGAGACAGTTTCGGTTTGTGTTTCCAGGGTAGAGGGGGAAACCCTCATTCAGACTTCTCTCCTCGCGTCTGCTCGTATGCCTTAACAGTTTCATTGATCTGGCTTTCCCTGAACATTCTCAATGACGACTGGTCGTCAAAACCAGAATGAACACATTTGAGAACACCTGTTCCCCTCCAAAAGAACAGCTTGGGCTTTTACACTCCTACACCTTGGTGATGGTGTCAGGAGCTGTGTGGTGCTGCTGCTCCATCTGGGAGAAGGTGTCAGGAGCTGTGTGGTGCTGTTGTTACAGCTTGGTGACGGTGTCAGAAGCTGTGTGGTGTTGCTGCTCCAGCTTGGTGATGGTGTCAGGAGCTGTGTGGTGCTGCTGCTCCATCTGGGAGAAGGTGTCAGGAGCTGTGTGGTGCTGTTGTTACAGCTTGGTGACGGTGTCAGAAGCTGTGTGGTGTTGCTGCTCCAGCTTGGTGATGGTGTCAGGAGCTGTGTGGTGCTGCTGCTCCAGCTTGGTGATGGTGTCAGGAGCTGTGTGGTGCTGCAGCTCCATCTGGGAGAAGGTGTCAGGAGCTGTGTGGTGCTGCTGCTCCAGCTTGGTGATGGTGTCAGGAGCTGTGTGGTGCTGTTGTTCCATCTGGGAGAAGGTGTCAGAAGCTGTGTGCTGTTGCTGCTCCAGCTTGGTGATGGTGTCAGGAGCTGTGTGGTGCTGTTGTTCCAGCTGGGTGACGGTGTCAGAAGCTGTGTGGTGTTGCTGCTCCAGCTTGGTGATGGTGTCAGGAGCTGTGTGGTGCTGCTGCTCCATCTGGGAGAAGGTGTCAGGAGCTGTGTGGTGCTGCTGCTCCAGCTTGGTGATGGTGTCAGGAGCTGTGTGGTGCTGTTGTTCCATCTGGGAGGTGTCAGAAGCTGTGTGCTGTTGCTGCTCCAGCTTGGTGATGGTGTCAGGAGCTGTGTGGTGCTGTTGTTACAGCTGGGTGACGGTGTCAGAAGCTGTGTGGTGTTGCTGCTCCAGCTTGGTGATGGTGTCAGGAGCTGTGTGGAGCTGCTGCTCCATCTGGGAGAAGGTGTCAGGAGCTGTGTGGTGCTGCTGCTCCAGCTTGGTGATGGTGTCAGGAGCTGTGTGGTGCTGTTGTTCCATCTGGGTGACGGTGTCATACAGGGTGGTGTTCAGTGTCTCCGGGAGGGTGAAGGTGATCAGACCTGCCACCACTGCCGCCGTCCCCAGCACCACTGAGGGCAGCCAGGTGTGCAGTAACACCTGACAACATTTACAACAATTAGTGGTGTCAGTTCTACAGGCAAAGTAGCTAGTTACCATAAAAATACAGTAAGCCTACAATTACAACTTAATCAAGACAATATTTAGAAAATAATAAAACGTCTTGTTGGTGTCCTTAAGACCTTTTACCTCTGGAGGGTTACTAAGATCTATCAACCTCTGGAGGGTTACTATAAGATCTATCAACCTCTGGAGGGTTACTAAGATCTATCAACCTCTGGAGGGTTACTATAAGATCTATCAGCCTCTGGAGGGTTACTATAAGATCTATCAACCTCTGGAGGGTTACTATAAGATCTATCAACCTCTGGAGGGTTACTATAAGATCTATCAACCTCTGGAGGGTTACTATAAGTTCTATCAACCTCTGGAGGGTTACTATAAGATCTATCAACCTCTGGAGGGTTACTATAAGATCTATCAGCCTCTGGAGGGTTACTATAAGATCTATCAACCTCTGGAGGGTTACTATAAGATCTATCAGCCTCTGGAGGGTTACTATAAGATCTATCAACCTCTGGAGGGTTACTATAAGATCTATCAACCTCTGGAGGGTTACTAAGATCTATCAACCTCTGAAGGGTTTCTATAAGATCTATCAACCTCTGGAGGGTTACTATAAGTTCTATCAACCTCTGGAGGGTTACTAAGATCTATCAACCTCTGGAGGGTTACTATAAGATCTATCAACCTCTGGAGGGTTACTAAGATCTATCAACCTCTGGAGGATTACTAAGATCTATCAACCTCTGGAGGATGACTAGTGCATCACATTATTAGCGAATTGATCGATTCCATAAAAAATCGAGTTATTAGATGAGAGAAGAGAGGGAGAGAGGCAGAGGAGAGAGTATAATGCACCTACCAGGTAATCGGTGACGATAGGGGCGACCAGGACACCAAGCCTAGACAGCATGAAGCAGGTGCCAGCACCTCGATTTCGCACCTCCGTGGGGAACAGTTCGGTGGAGAAGAGGATGATGATGTTGAAAGCTATGTTGATGGCGAACTTGCCGGCCATGGCTAATGTGATGATCAGCCATTCCATCTCTGTAAAAAAATCAGTGGAATGTGCAAAAAGGGTTAATGAGGATTTATAAATGCAGTAAAATAGATATATATGTGAAACAAAGGATTCAGGAGCAGACGACTTCTGACTGCTGTTAGCAGGTTGAGAGTTTTTCCCTTCCCATAGCTCATAGTAAGCCTTACCCTTACTAGTTATAGAAATGTTGGAAGTGTTGGTGCACCAACCTGTTGGTATGACCGCTAGACACAGCAGGGAAGCACCGGTGAGCAGGACAAAGACAATCACCAGGATTTTCCTGCTTACGCGGGTCACCAGTGGCACTGAGACGGCACCAAGCACCTCTACAGCGCCAGTCAGGGCCATGTACAGGAATGGGTCGGAGGTGTAGTTCCCCCCACTTAGGCTAAGACCAAAATACACCATGGATATTGCGAAATAGATTAGGCCGCTGCAAAAGGTGATGGTGCGAAGCCTAGGAGTTCTGGTCAGGACGAGAGATTCACCAAAGTTAACAAATTTCCTTATATATATATATGTCGTACCTAGTAGCCAGAACGCACTTCTCAGCCTACTATGCAAGGCCCGATTTGCCTAATAAGCCTAGTTTTCCTGAATTAATATATTTTCTCTAATTTTTTTCTTTTGAAATGATAAAGCTACCAATTTCATTATGTATGAGGTCAATTTTTTTTATTGGAGTTAAAATTAACGTAGATATATGACCGAACCTAACCAACCCTACCTAACCTAACCTAACCTATCTTTATAGGTTAGGTTCGGTTAGGTAGCCGAAAAAGTTAGGTTAGGTTAGGTTAGGTAGGTTAGGTAGTCGAAAAACAATTAATTCATGAAAACTTGGCTTATTAGGCAAATCGGGCCTTGCATAGTAGGCTGAGAAGTGCGTTCTGGCTACTAGGTACGACATATATATATATATATATATATATATATATATATATATATATATATATATATATATATATATATATATATATATATATATATATATATATATATTCAACGCAATCGTGTGGAACCCAAATAATGTAATGTATTTTTTCTTACTTTTTTGTTTCTTTGCTCACCTGACAAGGATAGCAGCTGCTCGTAGGTTGGCCCAGAGAGAGCTGAAGAGACTGTCCCCATCACCAACTGGTTTCTCTTCTTCTGTCTGCAAATATTGGCCCAAACTAAGTACCAAACATTACACCTCTACCTCTCTTTTAGAGTGAGGAAATTGCCTCCTTTTTTGCTTAGAGAGAAAACGGGTGACATTTTTAATATTTGAAGTTTTACTCTATTTTCACTCGAGATTCAAAGACAAATATTATCAATAAACAAAACTTTATATAATTGTAATTGATTGATTGGTTTGGTTGAATGAGCTATCGATTGGTTGATTGACTGAAACATTCGTCATTGTTATCTTTGCTCACCTGATGCCTCCTATGTTAGGGCTCACCTGCTGGGTCCTGTGTAATCATGACTCACCTGCTGGGTCCTGTGTAATCATGACTCACCTGCTGGGTAAGAAGTTGCAGAAGGTGCTGGTCAGGGGGAAGGGAGACCTTGTTCCAGCGGGCCCCCTTCTTCACCACCTTTAGGGCCTCGTGAGGGCGCCCCTGGACCATTAACCACCTCGGGGACTCATCAATCACCCTGTTACAACGAGGTTGATTGACGCATACTGTGGTGTACCTTAGTTGTTCTCTCGAGGGAGAGAGAGAGAGAGACTTTGGCACACAGTTGGCTACATGCTCATCCCGTTCCTTATATGATTGTTACCTAATGTTTTTTAACGAATAAAGGTTATTCCTTCTGATGCATATAACAGGTTTATGATATAAATGAGCCTCTAGGAGTAGGTTTCAACTTAGCTTCCATAGATTCCTTGTTCCCTATGTGTTAGTTTCAAAGTATATTCTCATGAAATAAATGAGTTTCTAGGTGTAGGCTTCAGATGAGCTGAGGTAGGAAAACAATTTTTGCTTGCAGTTTCACAAGGTATGTCATTAGACATCCTTTATGAATCCTAGTTTTAGTTAAAAAAGAGAGAGAGAGATACTAACATGTCTTCTGTTCCCAAACCAAACCAAATGAATATTCTCGGTCATTGTTCATCACAGCCTCTCCAGCTGAGACATCTAAACATCACCAGACTTGATCAATTCCCAACAACATTCCTACAGGATCTAAGTAACAACATTACGCATTTGCAACTTTCGGTTTCCCTACTTGGTGTTCCTGCTACTGCATCAATATTGCTAAAATAGTGTTTAGTAGTGACAGGGTTAGTTACACATGGCATTAGATAACAGCTATACCATGCATTATATCTATGATGATAAATAGGAGAAAAATCATGTGTAGACTCATAGGGATATAGTTATGTGTGGCATTGAACAACAACAATAATATGTGGAATATAATGTGTGAATGCTTACAGCAGCACTGGTAAGAAGAGCAGACCGGTGAGGGATACAGTGAGCTGCAGCATCCTCCAGTCCCTGAGAAGGTAGGCGTAGCCTCCCCACGCCACGACGCCTAGTGACCACGGGATATAGAACACCATTCCGGCCAGAGAGCGGAGCTTGGGGCCCATCACCTCCATCACTGACACACACAAACACATCCCGGGATCAGCCCACGAATATTAGTGACGGTTGTGACTTTATGATCTATTTTGTCTATTTATGGTTTGGATTTATAGGTAACAATAATGGATCGTCTGTGTTTCAAGCAAAGGTAAAACATTTATAAATTACATAATTACGAATAAATAAGAGCTGCCACACATGTCTAACAACCACAGTGACCCAGACCTTAGCAGACAGTGGTTGTAGACATCGTCGTTTACAACCACAACCTGGTAAACAGCGGCTGCAAAGAGTCATACCTACATCAATGCAGCCCTTTACAGCCTCGCCAACACACACACACTCCCTATCTATCTATACATAAACTTATTCTACAACCACAGGTCATCAGATTAGAGCAAACAGTAGCCTCAACTTACACAAAGTATAGGAGGACTGGGTGAAAGAGATATGCAGGGACCCCAACAGGAAACGTGATGCCAGGAGAACATAGATGTTGGTAAGCCAGCAAGACCCTATGGCTAGTACAGTGAAGGTCACACTGCAGGTGACAATCACTGTCTTCCTTCCATATCTGCAGAAAAACAATATTATTTTATTCTTTGATTATCAGACATAACACCCATCCACCTGGATTATATTCCACTTGGATTTGTCACGGCTTCGCTTCTTGCAGGGCTTCTTGCAGGGCTTCTTGCAGGGCTTCTTGCAGGGCTTCTTGCAGGGCTTCTTGCAAGGCTTCTTGCAAGGCTTCTTGCAAGGCTTCTTGCAAGGCTTCTCTCCATGATGGTTCAAGTGATTGGTCACATTCCTTCACTTCAGCTTCAGCTCCTTCTGCACGTAGCGTCCAATCGCTCGGGCGAAGTGAGCCTGTATACTGACAGGCTCACTTCTTGCAGGAACGGTGTTCGATCCCAGACAGCCCAAGTAGTTGGGGACCATACCTTCACTCCTTCAAATCTCAGCTCCTTGTCCTTACATACCGTCTAAGTGCTATATAGTCATATTGACTTTGTGCTTTTTAGTGCTTCTTCTTTTCTTAAATATACATTGCCTAATAATACTCTCCATCATCAGCACTAAAACACATTGCAGCCAGCTGGTAAAAGAAAATTACATACTATGATTAACAATGATACAAAATGACTCAATATTGGTACCTTCCTGAAGAATGACAGGAGGTAATTATATCAGTGGACGCCTGTCTGGCAATCACGATACTTTGCCAGACTTTAAGGAAAATATAACAGTGTGAGCCTTTCTAAAACAAAAAGAATACTCTGTCAAGATATAAGGAGAAGATAACAGTGGGGTCGTGTCCAGGATATAAGGAGAAGATAACAGTGGGGTCGTGTCCAGGATATAAGGAGAAGATAACAGTGGGGTCGTGTCCAGGATATAAGGAGAAGATAACAGTGGGGTCGTGTCCAGGATATAAGGAGAAGATAACAGTGGGGTCGTGTCCAGGATATAAGGAGAAGATAACAGTGGGGTCGTGTCCAGGATATAAGGAGAAGATAACAGTGGGGTCGTGTCCAGGATATAAGGAGAAGATAACAGTGGGGTCGTGTCCAGGATATAAGGAGAAGATAACAGTGGGGTCGTGTCCAGGATATAAGGAGAAGATAACAGTGGGGTCGTGTCCAGGATATAAGGAGAAGATAACAGTGGGGTCGTGTCCAGGATATAAGGAGAAGATAACAGTGGGGTCGTGTCCAGGATATAAGGAGAAGATAACAGTGGGGTCGTGTCCAGGATATAAGGAGAAGATAACAGTGGGGTCGTGTCCAGGAAGTCAGAATATTTGTGTTCACGCCTGTGAACTTAATAAGTCAATTTTTTGTTTGTAATTTTTTTAAATGTTCAAACTGCGATAAATGTTAAGTTATTTATTTTATTTCCTGAACAACTGACAAAGAAAATATTTAATTAAAGAAACTAAATGCATAAAAGTACACAACCTGAGCCTCAGCCCTGATAGATTACCTGAGCATCAACCCTGATAGATAACTTGGGCTGCCCAGTTTCTTATGTGTCTCAGTAGACACAACTGTTTCAGATTTGACACGACAAATTATGAGAATCGACCATTTATATGGCCAGTCAGAATTCATCAAGCATTCACGTGTCCAATCACGTGTACAATTCATCAAACATTCAGCTGTGTCTAATCACATGTCCAATGTACGTCTTTCCCTGACCATGGCAGCGTAATCTGTGTTTATTGGACAGTTTATGAACATAGAAGTACTGCAAGGTTGGCCTTCCCCCGAAGTTATTATGTTATAGATAACTTTGTTCTTCTAGACAACTTTGTAGTGCTTCAGAGCTTATTATTTTATAAAATAAATACAAACTGAACTGCTAAGATTATGAAAGATATTGTGAGTGGTCTTATAAATGCTTCATGAAAATGATCACTCGTTGTGAAGATGATAATGAGTGATTATTTGGTGAAACATACTTGTCAGAGAGGAGGCCAGAGACCACAGAGCCCAACATGTTCCCTGCCATGTAGAGTGTCTGGTACGCCACCTGCAGGTACTGCAACCCACACACCAGCCCAAACTGTGGGTGAAGGGAATTAAGTGATAAAATATCGACCTATGGACTGCCTCTGTCATCAGAAGATTAACCTCTGAACTGCACAGGTATTTAAAAGCACTACATCAAGGAGTGCATGTTTAAAAATAGTTAATAGAATATATGGGAAATTATAGATATCGATTAGAACACAGAAGTAAATAGCAAATAGTGATTGGAGCACAGAACGGAAAACTCGTTTCGAGCAATTTATGGATTAATTACTTTAAATGCAAATATGATAAGAACTTCATCTAACCTCGGAAGTGATAGTGGAGGAAAAAGTGGAGTTATCAAAGTCCCAGTGAGTGCACGGCTCCTCCACGGGGTCCCCGGAGGACCCGTACTCCACCAGGTACGTGCACGGGTTCCTGGCCACAAGGAACGCCCAATATTTCACTCAACATTATACTTCTGTGCCTCACCTCAAACATTTTTGTGTACTGTATTTAACCAACATATATTCTCAATTTTGTTGTCATTAAATATTGTTTGAAAGTGATTTTCTAGGAGAACCATATTATTTTGTACATGTAAACACACTATGTATTTGGTTGATGGTGGGCCAAGAAGATGAGTTCTATCAGCCAGCATATATGGTATTTATGACAAGTCTATGGCTAAAATGAAATGCACTATTACGTTACAGACCTATAGGAAGAGATCTCAAACAACACATTATGAATTTAATGTTGTTATACTCACTCGGTGTTGGAGATTGAATTGTTGGTGAGAGAAGAGAGAGTTGTGGTGTTGGCTGCAAGGAGGTGGTGGTGAGGAGGGCGACACGTGAAGGGAACTCTAGGAGCTAGGAAAGCCCCACCCAACGCGTGATATACTATCATTAAGCTTGCTGTTGAGAGATTTATAGTAACTATCAAATGAAGATGTCAAGCTGGGAAGACTGTAACCACAATGATATATTATAACCTCATAATAATATATTAATGTTAAACAAAATGGTGTTGTTGCACTGCGTGTTTGCTGGGATTATTGCAGCAAGATGCAGTAACCCATTGTCAGGGTCACGAAGCCTTTTTGGTTCATCGAGGTTCACCAGGGCAAAGGACTATCCAGGATGCAACCCACAACTGTTTTCTATCTCCCAAGTACCTAATTACTGCTAGGTAAGGTTAGGTTAAGCAAGGTTTGGTAAAGTTAAGTTAGATTAGGTTAGGTAAGGGTTGGTTAGGTTAGGCTAGGTGAGGTGCATAACTAGTGGCTTTATTCAATAAACAATCAATTTAGTCAGTATATAACCACTGGCCAGTGTTTTGGCTATAATTGCATTTATTATTATTAATATTATGTAAGCTGAAATCTTTTTGTGATTGAACAAAGAAGTGCTTACTGTAGGGGAGAGTGATCAAGTAGAAAATGTTCCAGCGTCCTGTGCCCAGTTTGGTGATGATGGTGTCGAAATTCTTCTCCATGTTGGTTAGGCCGGATATACTCTATCACCGCTAAATCAAAGTACAATCAATGTTATCAACCTCAATTCGGTTAGTATAAACGTCCTTTGGCCAGATTTTGCCCAGGTGGAAGAGTAGCCCCTACGCAGCCAGGGCCTGAGAACATAAGACTGTCATTCCGTTAAGCTATTCTATACTGCTGAGCCCTATTTACTGCTAGGTGAACAGAGACATCAGGTGTAAGATCCCCGCCCCCCAAGGCCAGTGACTGACTTTCTCAAGGATTCAACACACAAAAGTTGCCTATAGTTACCAAGTACCTATGTTATTACTAGGTGAACAGGGGTATTGGCTGTAAGAAAATGTGCCCGACTGTTTCTGTTCTACCTGAGGATCAAACCCCCAGGTCTACTGTTCAACACATAGACAAAATAACACGTCACCTGCATCATGTGTAGCGACTGACCAGGATGTGTCAGAGTTGGGATGTGTAGAGATACTAACAGTCTCCAGGCTGTATACAACACACTCTAGGTGTAGCGACTGACCAGGATGTGTCAGAGTTGGGAGGTGTAGAGATACTAACAGTCTCCAGGCTGTATACAACACACTCTAGGTGTAGCGACTGACCAGGATGTGTCAGAGTTGGGAGGTGTAGAGATACTAACAGTCTCCAGGCTGTATACAACACACTCTAGGCCTTAACCGTCAACATTTACAAGAACAAGCACAGTGAAAACAAGACAGAGATAATAGTGAAAGTGCAGTAGAAGTAATCCTTCAGTCCTTATTTTCTTCTGAGTATCCTTTGAAACAGCACTGTGAAGCTGGTTAGGAGTGAAGAGTAAGTAATTATCAGCAGAAGGCACCAAGCTGGGAAGGGTATGTAGCACCACACTGGAAGGTGCTTCAGGACTGCCTCGTCTACACCACTAAGGTGTAGTTTACTGCTCTAAGGACGTAATTACCTGCCAGGTATGCCACCCCTATACTCCCAGGTAACAATGGCACCCTTTTTG